CTCTGACTCTGGGATTCCCTTTATTTATATTTTATTTTTTAAAGTTCTCAATCCTTTCATTTTTATTTTTTAAAAAGTAAACACAGGGGGCCGGAGCAATAGCACAGTGGGTAGGGTGTTTGACTTGCATGCGGCTAACCCGGGTTCGATTCCCAGCATCCCATATGGTCCTCTGAGCACCGCCAGGAGTAATTCCTGAGTGCAGAGCCAAGAGTAACCCCTGTGCGTTGCCAGGTGTGACCCAAAGAGCAAAAATAAAAAAAAGGTTTTATCTGGAAGTTCTGAGGGAGGAGTTGGGATGGTGGGAGAGAGCGAGACAAGAGAGAGCAATACATTCAAGAGAGAACATGGGCTTCTACGGAGTAGAGAGAGAGCCCTAGTACACATCCCAGCATTAAAGTATGAAGGTATGAAAGTCCACATCTCAAGAGGGTAGAGACACACCACATGCACATGGCAGCAACACATGTGCTCTGGCAGCATACGTGCTGCCCCATAGTTTTTTTTTATCCAGACACCTTTTCTTGGGCACTTGAGTTGTTTCCAGATTTTAGTTACTGTGACTGGTGCTGCAATGAACATGGGAGTGCAAGTGTCTTTTCTGAATAGTGTTTAAAGGTTGCTGGATTATATTTAGCTCATATCCTACATTTTTGAGAAGCCCATATTGTTTTCCAAAGAGGTTGTACCGGTCAACATTCTCACAAACAGTGAATGAAGGTCCACTTTTTGTACATCCATATCAACACTGGCTATTTCTAACCTCAGTGATGTGTGCCAGTCTAATGGGTATGAGGTGATAACTCATTTTTCTGATTTGCATTTCTGGTGGTAAGTGATGAGTATTTTTGGCGATTACCTTTATTTTTTTATTAAAATTTTTAAAAATATTTTTGTTGGGTGGGTTACATCCTGCGATGCTCAGGGTTGATGCTCAGGAATTACTCCTGGTGGTGCCTGGGGGACCAAATGGGGTGCCGGCGATCGAACCTGGTTCGGTTGCATGCAAGGCACACTCCCTCTGCGCTGTGCTATCACTCCCGCCCCAGGATTCCCCCCCCTTTTTTTTTTGCTTTTTTGGGTCACACCTGGCGATGCACAGGGGTTACTCCTGGCTCTGCACTCAGGAATTACTCCTGGCGGTGCTCGGGGGACCATATAGGATGCTGGCAATCGAACCCAGGTTGGCCATGTGTAAGGCCAACACCCTAACTGCTGTGCTATTGCTCCAGCCCATTTTTCAATTTTTTTTTAGGATTCCCTTTAAAAGGGCAAAACATATTAGTTGAAAAGTGAATGCACAAATGTTTTTATCTGGGTTTTGCACAACTGGCCACTGGTTTGCCACAATCACGATCTGGGGAGTAACAAACATTGCGGAGCAGGTAAACAACATAAGAATTTTCAATAGAGAGCCGAGGACATAGTACAATGTATAAGCACCTGCCTTGCACATGGCTGACCCAGGTTCGATCCACAGCACCACAAATGATTCCCCAAACCCGCCAGAAGTGATTGCTGAATGCAGAGCTAGGAGGAAGCCCTGAGTATCACTGGGTGCGACCCCAAAACCAAAAAGAAAAAAAAACATTTCAATAAACAGCACACAACGCCTTTACATGCTAACCCAACTCACCCATTCCTGTAGTGTCAGAAAAACAGATTCATCGGGAGGGAAGAACGTAGTTATGAGAATGTGTTACTTTTCAGAAAGCAGGAAGAAGGGAAATGATTCAACAATTAATTAAAAAAAACTTTTGATTTAGCTTTTTGCAAATGAATGTGTCAAGTTTCCCCAAGGTAATTTATATTCCATTTTGAGATACAATCTAATCTATATGAGCTTGACAACCAAATCAAAACCCCACACGATATTTTCTACAAAGCGTGTATGATGTGTTTGTTCTGGCCCTCGGAGATTCTTAGGAAGAGCTCATCTGGTAAAAGAAGTGTTTTTAAAAGGTTCTTTTCATTAAAAAACACTCTTATGGAGTGGAACAGAGCAATTTAATAATCCCGGCAGATGGACTTTCAATTTGCTGTATTTTTAGAGGGCATTTTTTTTTTTTACCGGAACCTTAAATGCATCAACCTTTTACTTAGAAGTTCCACTTAGGGCAATTTAGCCTGAGCGAATGGACTGAACACTGGCAGTTCATCCACACAACACAATACTCGAGCTGCTAACCAGAAAATGAACAAATCTTCTTCTGACATTTTGTTGTGCAAGAGAAAAAGAGGAGATAGAAGTGTGAGTCGAACATGATCCAATGATCTATGAAAAAATGTACACCTTCTGTATTTGTACACACACCAAATTCCAAAAAAATGGGTTTATGGAGCAAGGTTGGCAGCTGGGGAGCTCTTTTCACATTTTAGTCGTACAACTCTGAATATTTAAAAAATTATTTTGGTTTTGGGGCCACACCCAGCAGTGGTCAGGGTTTACTCCTGGCTTGGCTCAGGAATCACTCCTGGTTGGGCATAGGGGACCACAAGGAGTGTGGTCAAACCTGGGTTGGTCATGTGCAAGGCACTATACTATCACACTGGCCCATGTTTTTACTTTTTTTTTTCTTTTTGGGTCAAACCCAGTGATGCACAGGGGTTACTCCTGGCTCGTGCACTCAGGAATTACTCCTGGCGGTGCTTGGGGGACCATATGGGATGCTGGGAATTGAACCTGGGTCGGCAAATGCCTTACCTGCTGTGCTATCGCTCCAGCCCCATATTTTTACTTTTTAAAATATTTTTCTTCCTTTGGCATAGTGGTAACTTTATTGCCTCCCATCATAAAATAAAATTTATTTTAGGCACCCTGATTTACAATACTATTTCTGATTGGGTTTCATGCACAGTACAATCCCAAACCACACCCTCCCCCAGTATTCACTTCCCTCCACCACTACCCCAGTAATCCTCACAATACTTAAATTTTCTATAATAACCAGAGCGATAGCACAGCGGGTAGGGCGTCTGCCTTGCATCGCAGCCAACATGGCCGACCCGAGTTCGATTCCTCCGCCCCTCTCGGAGAGCCCGGCAAGCTACCGAGAGTATTCGATATGCCAGACACAGTAACAACAAAGTCTCCAATGGAGACGTTACTGGGCCCGCTCGAGCAAATCGATGATCAACGGGAGGGCCTTTACTTTACTTTACTCTATCATTACTATTTTGGGTTAGGGGGCCAAACCCAAGTGTGCTCAGGGGACCTTATGCTTGGTCAGGGATTGAACCCAGGTCAGCCCAAGCCCCATACTAGCTCCCTCGTCATATTTATTGCTTTATTTTTAGAAGTATATATTGTTGTATTGTTTTCGGGCCACACCCAGCACTGTCCTCCCATTGTTCATCAATTTGCTCGAGCGGGCACAGTAACATTGTGAGACTTATTACTGTGTTTGGCATATGGAATACGTCACGGGTAGCTTGCCAGGCTTTGCCGTGCCGGCGAGATATTCTCGGTAGCTTGTGGGCTCTCCGAGAGCAATGCTCAGAAATTACTCCAGGCTCTGCACTCAGAATTACTTTTTTGGCTTTTTGGGCCACACCCAGCAATGCACAGGAATCACTCCTGGTGGTGCTCAGGGGACCATATGGGATGCTGGGAATTGAACCCAGTCGGCCACATGCAAGGCAAATGCCCTACCTGCTGTGCTATTGCTCCAGCCCCCAGAATTACTATTGGTGGTGCTCAGGGAACCATATGGTATACTGGGAATCAAACCTGGGTCAGCCATGTGCAAGGCCTTACCCAACATACAATCACTCTGTTCCTTCCCATTTATTATCTGTAAATTATTATCACTCCTTCCTTCACCACATCCCAACACTGAATAAATCACTATTGCAATCTCATCACCTCAAAAAGGAATTCTGTCAGTCATTTCTTTGTTTAGTTTTGGGGTCACACCTGGCAATGCTCAGGGATCCCTTCTCGTGGGCCTGGAGGATCGAACCTGGGTCAGCCACGTGCAAGGTAAGCACCCTCTCTGGCCCTTTCAGTCTGGTTTCGACTGCCAGTGGTATTGCAGAATTTTGTTACCTCCTGGATTGGTCCAGGACATAACATCACCATCACTGACTGTCTCTGAACAGACCTGAGAACATGGTTGCTTAGAAATGGTGGTTGCCCAGGTCTGGAGGGAAATTTTGGATTTGTAGCAGCTTTTGGTTCCAGAAAAGAACCTTGGAAACTGTAATCTTATGGTGATGGGATTTTAAGAGGGCGCCTCTTCTCACAAGCAAAGGGGCCCTGGCAAAGGGAAAACCTGGGGATTTCTGTCACCTTTAGTGCTGATTCGAATCCCTGGCACCACACAGGGTCCCCAGAGCACAGTCAGGAATAGACCCTGAGCACTGCAGGATGTGTTCCCACAGCCCCCTTAAAAAAGTACTGGGTATTGTAATGTGGTTCAATAGTAATACACACCTCAAATGTGTGAGGACCTGGATTTGAACCCTGACACAGGGTTGTGGGGAGAGCATTTTGAAAGATGGAGTGGTTCGGTTTATTATGCTTTAGAATTATTTCATTTAACACTTGTTAACTTGTATTGTTTAGGAACCATACCTGTAAGTGTTTAGGGTCTACTTCTGGCTTGGTCCTTGGGGGGTGGAGGCGGGAATCACTCCAAGTGGTTCTCAGGGTATTATAAGTGATGCTGAGGATAGAACCCAAAGTATGCGCTCCAGCTCACTGAGCTCTCCCTCCAGCACCCCATTTTGGTGGGGGGTGGGATGTGCAAGGGAAATGCCTTAATCCCTGTACTATATCTCTGGCCCTTATCCCTCCCCCTTTGTAATTAAAACACTTTTTAGCAAGCTTTAATTGGCTAAAGAAAACCAAGCCGTCAACTAACTGGGCATTTCACCTTGAAAGGAAGCAAGAGGCAAAGAAACAATATTCTACCACCATTGTAACAGAGGTCTTTGAGACGTCATAAAAGAGATGTACACACAAGCATGAAAGTCATGACTCATTTATTGAATGAATAGTATATGCAGGAATACCAATAAAAGAAACTAATACTACAAACTACAATTTTGAAAACAAAGCCAACAGGAACAAAATATACATAACAAGAGAGGAATGTTTGAATTTTTTGACCCATAATGCATTCCTTAGCTTTACAATTAACCTAAATGTCTGTTAGAACAAAATGGTATACGTTGGTCTAACTTTAGTGCTTTGTAAGAAAGCAACAACATTCTAAAACACTTTTCGTTTGCTTTGAGATACTTAAGATTCACACATTGGTTCAAGTACATAGATTCTGATTCAACAGTAGATCTACATAGCTTGTTATTCTCTTTAATATCTTGAGTAGCATGTACTCCTGAGCAAGTACTAAATGAAATTCTAAAATTGCTGATATTGGAAACAAAATTATTTCAGTTGTGGGTTTTGAATAGATTGAGATGAAAGTAAAATGTCCCTCCCACCCCCTACCCCTAACCCCAGGAACAAAGAGCTCTTATTAAAGCATAGAAACTCAAGTCTATCTTTCTACTCTAAAGAACATTTCTTACTAACATTTCTGGTAAGGCAATAAATGCTCCAGAATAATCTTCAATATACGCTTGCAAAGATTACACTGTTTAATATCAATAACAAAACAAACCAAAACAAAAATGGAGAGGAAAAAGAGGGGGGAGGAAAAAGAAGGGAAGAAAAAAAAAGACATCAAAATTTCAAGCTAAAATATGTGTAAAAGACAGTGATGGGAGTATTTTTTTTTGAAATGATGTAAATGTTATATACTTATCAAATAATGTCATGCTTATTACAACTACAGTTAAGGACTGAAGAGATGAACAGTAAATACACTGCTGAGGTCCATTTTTCTAAATATTCATACCACAATGTAATTACTACCTGGAAGATGACAATGCTACTTGGGAACAGAAGTACTGTACAATTTTTACATTGTAAGGCACTTTTACTCAGCATTATGATGAAAACATGGAAAGACAATCAAAATCTTGTAAGTGTACAACTAAAGGTGATTTTTGCATGGGATTTTGATTTATACATCCTTTTGTAAATGAACAACTGTTCAGTCAATCACACCACAGTGAGAAAAATAGGTAGCCAGCCACTTACCTAGCCAACCAAAAGGTAAAGTGCTATTCTGGTGGCTAGTGGCAGAGAAAAGGTTGCAGAAACCCATATAAGAAAAAAGTATACAGTTGATTACATGTGAAGTTCTGAAACAGCGAGTACTTGAATTCCTCGACATGCTTACTGACTGGCCATTACTACCCCTGCACCTTCTATTTTCCCGGAAAATGTCATTACAGTAGTTGTCAAAAAAGGAAGGTGCTCTCTTGTTCCATGGGTAAGTCTTATGGCACACAATGTAAAAATGATGAAGACACAGTGATTCAAAGAGTTAAAATAACTGGTTTCAAGGTGTTGGAAGGAAGTAAAATACAGATCCTTTGGGAAAAGTCACAGAGCTTGGTAAACAAACATCTAGATCTGTCGATGCACTTCAAGTCATGGTGAATTTTGAAAAATCCATCACACACACAAACACACACAAATACACACCAATGGCAGACATAGAGCAAAAGGAAGAAACACACAGGGCAACCAACTACGAACACTAGTTTCCTTCTAAAAACAGTCCAAGATGGTTAAAAGAAAGCAATAATCACATCCCTTAAGTAAATGTGTGAATGCACACTGGACAAATGTGACTTTAAGGGACTAGCAGTTTAAAAAAAAAATCAGTCATTAAGCACAGTGTAATTTTCCACCTGTTACGTTTTTTTTTTTTAAAAAATGCTTTTCCATCAGCCACAGAATTCTCTGGATGTACAGTCAAGTTACCACGATTTTCCTCGTTTGCTAATTTGCTGCAATGCAATAGGTTAACGAGTAACTCAGAAACCGCGATCCCCTATCCTTGATATTGAGGTGCTATGGTAGTATTAGGCGGACCACCAACTCAAGCTTTGTTTTTGGTTTTGCCAGGAAAGAAACAGAAAAATGTGCTTCAGCAGGTGAAGTGGAAGACCGCTGGCTGGAAACACCAGCGTTCAGAGATCCTTTCTGAAAAAGCTGAATTCTGAGGCTTTGAGACGCAATTCTGTTGGAGCGGTAGTGCAGCAGCGCGCCCTACTGACGGGAGGGAAGGACGGCATGAAAGCCTGTTGAATAGAGAAGCCAAGCCATGAAGGAAAAAAAAAAATCACAAGTAGGAACGGTTCTAAAATAGTGGTCACAAAATCAAAAGGAAATACTGTTTTATGCAAAGACTGGTTGGAACGTCTACATCACAAGAGACCCCCCTGGTGCACTCCGGGCCAATGGATGAAATGTTCCGTGCCGTGCGGCACTTGGGAGGAGCAGGTTTCAGATGTGGACGGTTGAAGTTCTTAGCGAGTAGGAACCCTTTCCAGCCTCGAAAGGCTTCACCGCGGTGGCCGCGCGGGAGTTTAGCTTGGAAGGACTGGATCTTTTTTTTTGCACGAAGCTCTTTGTATGACAGGAAAAGAGGTGTATCGTTATGAGTTATGGCGCGAGGACTGGCGCTCTTAGCTTCTCATCAGTCACCAGTTGTGCAGTCCCATGGTGCTCAGTGAGAACAACTTTTAACAGGAACCAAATGAAAAGCTTTAGCAAGCTTCTTGGAAGAGGTTTTTTTTATTGTTTATTTTTTTGTTTTTATTTATTTATTTTTTTAAAGCCCAGGCTGTCAAGACCAAGGAAGGGGAAAAAAGAAGGTTCTCTTCATTTCTAGCCTCCTTGACTTGAGTGTGTGAAGGAAAAAAAAAACACACAAGGACATCATCTCTCCCCATGCGTAGCCACGAGGCCGGCTTGCACGGCAACGTGAAATTTGCCTGTGCGCTCCTTTGAGGACGAATCGGCTAAACACACTTAGACACGCTAAACGGTAAAACTCTGTTCAGTCCCGAAACAGCTTACTCCACTTCAATGTCTGCTGGAATGGCTGACACTATACACAGGATTAATAGTGTTTCAATTGCTTCCCAGAAACTGCAAACTACAGCTATGTAATATCAACATGTCACACTCTGCCACCTAGTGAAAGGCTCATGAAACAAAGGAGACGGTTTTAGGCAGTTCAATGAAGGATCTAAGAGCTGGGCGTAAAAAGTTACAAACCCTTTTTTGATTTTTAGAAAACAGTGGAAAAAAAAAGAATAGTAGTTATGGATGTCTTATTCATTCCCAGTTTTCTAACTCTGTCCCATGAACCTGTTTAAAAGATGATAAAAAAATGTAAAACATGATGCTTAATGAGAACACAATAAATATAATGTTATTGAGGAGCAAGAGATCTTACTGGCTTGATATTATGACTAATTTCTCGATAAAGTAGGTAGCTTTGTTTTTCACTGTTACAAAATGAGCTAGTTAAAAATTACTATGTAAGCCCACACAATACTCTGCATTCCAGTAACATGCTTAACCAAACTTTTTTTTTTAAAAAAATCATACTGCACAGCATCACTTAAATGTGCACTTGGATCCTGCCAACAGAGCCGATAGAACGAACTTCCATACCTAGTTTCCATTAAGTTGCTGCTGAGTTAGTTGCTGCTGATCGATTTCTGCTTTCCCCCGGCTTTTACTCTCTCGTTCCTCGTCTTCTTCATCTCTCTCATCATTGCCACTATGATTCTTACAATACAGCCTACAATGATGAGAGAGGCAAATCTCACGATGCGTTGTTGAAGAGAATGTACTTCGGTTATTAGGGAAGGAGGCTAACAGGACGGGCATAGGGCTGCCTTGGACGCTGCCTACCCAGGTTCCATCTCTGGCATCCCCTATGGTCTCCCCAAGCACCGCCAGGAGTGAATCCTGTTGCAGAAGCAGGAGTCATCCCTGAGCTTCACTGGGTCTGGCCCCCCATACCCCATTGTGGGCTTAACTTGTCCCCATTTCGAAACAATCTCGGCATCACAGATAGGTCTATTTTTGCTGAGAAGGTAGGAAAGCACTATCAGGTCAAAAAGACCTCTGCTTTAGGATGGTAGTTGTCAGAAATGTTCAACTACAAGGAAATTCCTCATTCCAAGGAAATGCAGATCCAAGTTTGTGGTTAACTTCAAAAACAGCAACTCTCGGGCTTATAGAGGAAACAGTAAAATTCTCGGTTACATCTTCATGTAGAGTTGAAATGCTAGTCTATATAAACTGCTCTTCTCTTCTCACATTCCACAGTGCTCAAAGTGGGCTTCCCCATTAGCATGCCACCTTCAATAGTACACCACCCCAGGGCTTTCCAGGTACTTCCTCCGGCTATGTCTCTTTGTGATTTGGTTTTTGGGCCACACCCAGCTCTGTGCTTGGGGAAGTGTGTTCCGAGGGGTGCTTAGGGAACCCTGTGGTGCCAGTCTGTACACGTTATACTTTGTCCGCGCTCATAGCATGCTTTGCTGGAGCTCAGCCCAGAGTTTTATCTCTAGCACCTGGCAGCGTCTCCTTTTGGGGAGCATTGGGGGTGGAGTTTTGGCTCCACGCAATGGTGCACATAAGCTAGTACTCCCAGTTTGGGGTTCAATGATATCTCCCAGTGGGGAAGGGGGGAATCTTGAGATGCTGGATATACAAGGAGGGCTCTTAGATGCTAAACATGCACTCAGCCCACTTAGTTGCCTCGTCTCTAACCTGGCATCTTAAACCAAGGGCCACAGGTCAGAGAGACTGCACAACTCTAACGTCTCTGCCTTGCTCTCAGCTGACCCGGGACGAATACCTGCCATGGCAAAGGTCCCCTGAGCACCACCAGGAGTTAATCCCTAAGCACGGATGAATGTGACAGGCTGAATGTGACCGCAAAACAAAAGAAAAGAAAACAAAACAAAACCAAATCATGGGCCAGGAGGAAAATGTGAGGGTGGCAAAAAAATCCAGAAAAAAGTTGCTTCAAATAAACTTACCATTTATTCCTTTTTTTTTTTTCCTTTTCAGGTCACACCTGGCTCTGCACTCAGGAATTACTCCTGGTGGTGCTCCAGAGCTGTATGGATGCCGGGGATCGAACCATGTGCAAGACAAATGTCCTACCCATTGTACTATCACTTTGGCCCCGTAAACTTATCATTTAATACCAGTATTTGATTTGAGTATCTATTTCATACACCTTGAGTTACATTTAAAAAAAATTTGTGGTTTCAAAGGGGTCATGAGTGGAAAAAAAATTGAAGAAGCCCTGATGTTTTTACCACATTGAGAACTTGCTTACCCTGGGCCTACTCTTGTTGGTTCTCTCTACACATAATCACTACAAACAGGAAGTAAGGTCTTCAGGGAAGCATCCTTAGCTCCCACACTGGCTTTTCTGTTACTCTAGGATACTTAGAAAGTGTGACACGGCACATCTCAAGTGGATGTAATCCCAGAAATTCCTATTAGTGATGCCACATGTTTTGGAGGGGTTGTAGTTTCTTTGCTTTGTTACACCACCCTGAAGCACCGGGGGCTACTCCCCAGCAGTGCTCCACAGACCATGCGGTGGTGGGAGTCAAATCAGGGCTTCCTACATACAAAGCCTGAGTGCCAGGCTCTGTTTTTTTTTTTTTTTTGGCAATCTTGTTTTTAATTTTTATTAGTGAAACACCATGAGGTATAGTTGTAGACTTACAAATTTTTGTGCTTGGGTTTCAGTTATACAATGATCAAGTACCCATCCCTCCACCAGTGCCTATTTTCCACCACCACGGGTCCCAATATCCCTCCCACCCCCCACCCCCCACCCCCCCATCCCACCCTGTCTCTGTGGCAGGGCATTCCCTTTTGTTCTCTCTCTCCTTTTGGGTGTTGTGGTTTGCAAAAGAGGCACTGAGTGGCAATCATACTTGATCTATAGTGTACTTTCAGCAGTTTTGGCTATTCCTCTGGCCCCTAGTGATACTGTGTGGTCATTTGGAAAACAGAGTGGGGAAGGCCACATCTCTCCATTATAAATGTAGAACTCTCCCACTTCCTTTAAAATTTGTAAATGAAAAAAATCAAATTAGCAAATAATCAAATACTTTGACCTCATGCTCAGCTAATCTTCTTTCTTGATTATATATACTGCCTGCTTGCAATCTGCAATGGTTGTTAAGGCAAATAGCAACACAGGAGATTTTGGGATACGGGCTCATGGTCTCCCACCCAATATATTTATATAATTAATATATTATATAAATTATATTAATTATTAATATATTAATTTTTGCAGCATTGGAGATCAAACCCAAGACCTCAAACGCAAGGGAAGAGCTCTGCTGCTGAGCTACATTGGAGGTACCATTAAAAAAATAATTGACTTCCAGGCCATAAATAAAGAAGGGATTGGCAGAGGTGAACTTTTTAGGTAAGTTATAAACAAGATCCAGGAAACAAAGTTTCAAAAGATGGTACAAGAGTGCCCCCTTGTGGCCAGAAGTGGATAAAAGCAGATTATAAGCCAGTCTATTCCAGAGGATCTAAACTAGGTTCAACACAAGACACTTGTGCAGAAAGACACAGGTGGGTTTTGTTGTTGCCAGTTGAGGGAACAGTCACAACAAACCCAGTTCTATTCATTTTCAAGACACTTATTAAAGTAGGGCTGGAGCAACAGTACTGCAGGTAGAGCACTTGCCTTGGACACAACCAACCCAGGTTCAATCTCTGGCACCCCAAGGGGTCCCCTGAGTCCCGCCAGGAGTAACCCTAGAGTGCAGAGTCAGGAGTAAGTGCTGAGCACTGCAGGGTGTGGCCCCCAAATGCCCCAACCAACAAATTATTAAATGATTTCATACTTTCAAATCACTATAGAGAACTAGTATCCATACACACTGCACATTATTAACCATTTTTGGGAAAACATCATGGGCCTGGAGAGAGCGCAGGAGGTAAGGTGCTGACCTTGCATGCCTGGTGAGGTTCCTGTTATTGAATCTGGTCCTCCAAGCACCACCAGAGGGCGCTGCCGAGCAGAGCGACCAGGCTTAGCCCAGAAACGAAAATGTAAACAAAACCCTTAGAGATCACGCCCACCCCAACCAGTGAGGCACACAACTAAAATATGTGAGTGCCACACAAAGTACATGATTCCTATCACTGCAACAACAGCTCAGGGGTGGTGAAGCCCGAGTTCAAACAGCAAGTTTTGCCTATCCCAGGTATATCCCCTCAGATGACAACCTGGATCAAACCAACAGTTAAGAACTTTGAACCAACAGTTAATAGAGCCAGTTCCCTTCTTTGTCAAAGAAATACCTTGCCACAACTTTACACTGTGGATCTAGTGTATTTTTTTTTGGTCACATCTGGCGATGCACAGGGGTAACTCCTGGCTCATGCACTCAGGAATCACTCCTGGTGGTGCTCAGGGGACCATCTGGGATGCTGGGAATCAAACCCAGCAAATGCCCTACCCGCTTTGCTATCGCTCCAGCCCCTCTAGTGCATACTTTAATTGCTATATGTGTAGTATTCAACTGAACATGGACCAAAACTTATGTCTCCAGGTAAGCGGTCTGGTGAAGGGATAAACAAGGTTCTGCTTTTTTTTTTTTTTCTGAAATAATTTGACCTCTGCTAACTGACTAATTCCACTCCCTGGCAACTTAATACAAATCGGTGTGTGGAATCTTTTTATGAAACCACATTATTTCCTAATTTTTTTTGAGAAGGACACACATCCGGCAATGCTCAGGGCTTAACCCTGGCTCTGCACTCAGGGGTCACTCCTGGTGGCTCGGGGGAAACCTACCGGGTGCCAGACCGAAACCCACCATTCCCTTAGATGGAGACAATATTGGGATTGGGGGAAAAAGAAGTAATTCTGCCAGAAGTGCACTTTGGTCCTGTTCCGGGGTGGGACAACCTGAAAATCCCCTCTGCCTACACACTGTACTCCAATGCTCCAAGTGGGGGGGGGGGCAGTCGACGATGGGGAACGGAGGTTCAGAAGCCAGGCTCGCTGCCGGGTCAGGCTCATTGCTACCCCACTCAACTGGAGTAACACTCAACTGACTGTTGCAGGGATACCCCAGCCAACTAGTTCTGTTACCAGCAGGCTCAGGCTCTTGTCTCTGCCACTGGCAGATTGAAGGGTTGGACCCAGAACAGATTTTCCTAGAAAAACAGTCAGCCATCCAGCCAGCTCCCACAGTGTGAGCAGGAAGTCTCACAGGGAAGAGACTTTCTTTTTCTCTTTCCTGCCTGGGGCTCATATCCTGCAGTGCCAGGTGTGCTGTTTGCTTTTTTTTTTTTTTGGACCCCACCGGGAAGTGCTCAGGGCTCTATGCTCAGGGGCCACTCTTGCTAGAGGCTCACGGGAATATTTCATGCCAGGGATCTAATTCCGGTCAGCCCTGTACAAAGCAAGCACCCTACCCACTGTACTAAGGCTCAAGCCCCTGTTCTCTTTTTTATTGCAGGGGGCAATACCTAGCTGTGCTCAGGGATTACTCCTGGCTCTACACTTAGGAATTACTCCTGGTGGTGCTCGGGGAACCTTACGGGATGCTGGGGATCAAACCTGGCTTGGCTGCGTGCAAGCCTTCCTCTTGGTGTACTATTATTCCAGGCCCTTTCTCTCCGGCTTAAACCTTTCTAACCAGTGAGGTGAGTTGGACACACTTTTTAGCGACATATGCGATTAAGGCCTGCAGGAAGTAAAAAGCCGGAGAGGCAGGTTACTTTAGAGGATTATGGCTTTGGCTGTGACAGTCCACTCATCCAGAACGTCATAGTTCCAAGTTTGGTGGCTATTTCTAATTTCCCCCTGCCTATTCCAGTCTTTGTCCTTCCACCTCTGGAACCTTGACAGTGTGAGGCAGAATTGAGTTTGAAGGCTCCAGGGCAGCATTTCTCAATTTGAAGAGGCCACAGGGGACTGCCTACCAGGGGACTGGGTTGGGTGGGGGGTGGCACAGGGCACAGCACAAGATTGGGGGTATGGGATCAAGATCCAGGAAGGGGGGGTCACAGTCTGGAGGCAATAAGATTGAGAATCATCCCATATAGTCCCCGAGCACCGTGAGGTGTAATTTCAGAGTGCAGAGCCTAGAGTAACCTCTAGGCATTGCTAGGTGTGGCCCAACATGCAAAACAATAACAAAAAATATTCCTAATTTGAATCACCCGGAGAATATCAATGTCCTACTGTTTTTCTGATAAAGTTGGATCACTTGGCAGCAGAAAGACATCCACCAGGGCTAGCAGGTTCCTGCAATCTTGGGTGTAAAAAACTAGAACTCCCCCCACCCCCCGCAAAAAACCTAGGCAAACCACTGCCCTAGGGCAGCTATCATTACAAATAATCCTGTGAAACTTCTTATAGGTACTGGACTTTGGGGGTCTTTTGTTGTGGGCGGGGGATTGAGGAGGGTTTGGAGCAGAGGTCACTCCTGAGGTGTCCGGATTGAATTGGGGTATTGGCCCGCTGAGCAAGCGCTGCAGCCTGCTGACTTCTCCATGGCTTGGCAGTTATATCTTAATAACAAGTGTTTTAGGGGGCCAGAGATAGTACAATGGGGAGGGCATTTACTTTGCACATGGGCAACCTGGGTTCAATCCCTGGTACCCCATATATTCTCCTGAGCATGCCAGGAGTGACCCCTGAGTACAGAGCCCTGAGTAAGCTTTGAGAACCACGAAGTGTGGCCTCCCCCATAACAAAATACACACACAAGAATTTGTAGCAGGCTGGAGAGACAGTACAGCAAGTAGTGTATTTGCCTTGCATGCAGCCTACCCCAGTCTGATCTGGTACCCATAAGGTCCTCCGAGCCCCACCAGGAATGCTTCCTGAATGCAGAGCCAGGAGAAAGCTCAAAGCACTGCTGGGGGTGGCCCCAAAACCTCCAAAAAGTATTTTTGAGGGGCCAGAGTGGTAGTACGGCAAGGAGGGCACTTGACTTGCACATAGCTGACCCAGATTTGATTCCCAGCAGCCCACTAGTCCCCCAAGCCCAAAAGGAGTGATACCTGAACACACAATTAGTAGGAAGCCCTGAGCATAACTGTGGCCCAAACTTGTCCTCCCCCTTGAAAGTATTTTTGGACCAGAGCAATACTACAGGGGATAAGATGCTTTACCTGTGTGTGGCTGATCCCCATTAGATCCCTGGCACTGCATATGGTCTCTGAGCATTGTGGGGTGCAGTGCTGGAGCCCCTGAGGATGGCCAGGGTAGCTTAGGCACCACAAAGTGTTAGAATTGAACCACCAGCCCAGTTGGCCAGTCGAGACTTGCCAGGAAGGGCCCCAGACCTCCTGAAGGTCCCCCAGACACCCCTTGGGAGGCTCTGACACCAAAGAAAGTGCCAACGATTGCAAGTAATTACATAGACAAAGATTTGTAGTACTTCAAAGAAACAACTCAAGCTGGCCAGAGTGCCAGTGAGCTCAGCTGGCTAAGTACATGCTTTTGGGTTTTTGTTTTCGGGTCACACTTAGTGGTGCTCAGGACTTACTCCTGACTCTACTCAGGGATCAATCCTGGCTGGGCATGGGGGACCATATGGGGATTGAACCAGGCCAATTTGATCTTCCTCCTTCTTGACTTTAGATCCTGGTCTCTATAATTTTTTAGAAAATTCAGCCTCGAGTTTGAAAAATTTGCTTTTTATTTGTTCTGAATGTGATCACTTTTTACTTCGCTAGCAGTTATACAAGTTTTATAGACTAAATTAAGAAATTTTCCATTTCTGTTTTCTGAACCTCTTATATTTTGGAAACCTTGAAGGTCACACTTGACTGTGCTCAGGGATCACTCCTGGTGGTTATCGGGGACCATATGCGGTGCTGGGGATCAAAACCAGGTAGGCTGTGTGTGTAAGCCCTTACAAATCTGTCTGCTAACCAGAAATTCTGATATCTGAGATAATTCCTACCTCTGCTGTACCTTAGTATTAGTCCAAAGAAGCCTTCAAGAATTTTAACTTGTATCTTTTTAACTGCTACCTCAATTCTTAAGAATACATCTACAATAAAAAGCCACTACTAGCATCTTTAAGGTGTCTATTAAGAGGTTTGAACTATACCTGCTGTACTTATCACTCTAGCTCCCAAGGGATTGAATCTCTTTAATAAGCCTGAATTATTTGGTCCTCAGAGGCTTGACAGGGCTTAGTCATAAAACACCTGTGCCTTTAAATGACACAAAGCTGGCATTTTTTTTTTCAAGATGGTTCTTATTATTTATTGGGTCATGGTAACCCTTCATACTTCTGCTTAAGGCCACAGAGATAATACAGGAGGGAAGGCACTTGCTTTGCACGTGGCCAGCCACGGTTCAATCCCTGGCACTACATATAGTTGCCCACCCCCCTCCCCTGCAGACTGCCAGGGGTCACTCCAGAGGAGAACCAGGAGTAGGCCCTGAGCACTGCCAGGTGTGCCCACCCCCCAACCCCCCCAAGGTCCCCAAGAGTTCTCTGTTCAAGCATCATTTCCTTAGGGAGATTTCTAAACAGCAGCCTGGGTTAGGTGTTCATTGTTACATGCCCTCAGAGCACTTTGTAATGAATCCTACAGAGCAGTTAGGTAGCTTGCTTACCACACACCTTAGTTTATAATTTTGTATCTGTGTAGTCATCCAATAAGTGTCTTTCCCACTAGACCCCTAAGATCCATGAGGTCACAATGTCTCCCTGATCTCTGCTTCTTGCCCAGCACAATGCCTAGCACAAAGTTAAGCATGAAACTTGTCCAAGTGTACATCCAGAGCTGGAGAGATACGGATGCTTGTACAGATGCTTGCCTCACACTCGGCCAAGCCTTGCTCGATCCCCAGCACTGTGTATGTTCCCTTAAGCATCGCCAGGAATAATCCCTAAGCAGTCAGGAGTAGCCACTGAGCATGCCAGGTGTGGCCCAAACCAGCCACCCCCAACCCCCACAAAAGAGAATGCTGATGCAGGCAGGAATGCTCAAAGGAACATCTCAATGGCAATGATCATTTCCTGACAGTCCACTGGACTCTGCACTTGGCTAAATGCCACCTAACAATGATCAGATATCAGATACACTAATATCTATTTCAGGCTGCTTCATACTGACAAGCTTAGGAAGATGGAAAATAGTTATTGTCTTACTTGTAAATCCCTCGTGACATATTTTCAATGTACTTAGCTTTGTCTTGAACGCCACAGTGGTAATGGTAAGTCTTGACACAGGCTTTTATTTCACATCCAATAGTAGCACCGGGCTGACTGCAAAGTGTACATTTCTGTTTAAGGGAAGAGAGAATCATCTTAAGCAGTATTTCAAGTGTATGTCAGCTGACTGATTCTACTTTTAGCTGTATTTCAGCCAAACATTTACAGTTGACAAAGAAAACTGCCCGTTTTCTATTGAAAAAGAGTGCTGGATAACATAAATACTATATTGCAATTCAAAGCATACTTGGATAAACTTTCAAAAATTGCCGTTCCCCACTGCTTTCATTACTCAACTGTACTAACAATCGGGTACCTGACATATAAACATTTCTGAACACTGCAATAGTGCCGAACACACACAAAAGAATATTCCATCTTTTACTGGCTGACTTCTGTTCCCCGTCTAGTTCCTTTTCTTATGTGACTGGGGAAAGAATGAAAAGACAGGAAGGCAATTCTCTCCCAAAAGAGATTGCAACTGAGCAGGTGAAAGGGCAAAGAGAGGCAGAATACAGAGGCAGAAACCTTTTCAAGATTTTCCAATTTGCTCCAGATTCACCTCACCTGCCAATAAAAATGGTTTGAGATTGAAAAGAGATTGCTGACCGGCGGGGTTTCATAGTCAAGTCAAAATCTGAGCAATGCTTATTTAAACAGACAGAACTTCTCAGCCTTTTCTCCAGGGAGGAAGAAATCATAAACAGCTCCCAAGAGTACTGAAATCCAGACGCCCTTTGATTTTTGGAGGGATGAGGTGGCATCTTGAAGGACTAAACTTCTTTGAGGCACACTGGGAGCAAGTGCTAGGTTAGTGCTGACCCTAGCATTTAACAGTGTAAAAATAAATGAATGGATCAAGAGAACCTACCTGGGCAACTTGATCCAGACTTTTTTTGGGGGGGATGGATGGGTTGTTTTTAGGTCCATACCTGGTGATCCTCAGGAATTACCCCTGGGCCGGGGAATCTAACCTGGGTTGGCCACATGTAATGCAAATACCCTGCACACTGTACTATTACTCCAGCTCCTATTCACAGAATTTTAAATTGTTATCTTAAGTCACCAGGATTTCGGTTCTATGATGCTATGGGGGAGTGAGCCTCTCCTGATTGCGAGTATTGTACTTCGTCTTAAAGGAAAAGTCCCTTTCCAGAGACAAAGTCTCAATAACCTGAACGGATTCATATGGGAGAGACAACATAAAGAATCTGTCTCTTTAAAAAATGCCATTCCACAGAGCCAGAGCCACTGTTTGTGGACCCAGGCAAAGAGTATCAGTGTCTGAAAGCACTAGATCAGGGTTCCCAAGTGGGCACACCCTTGGGGGTGATTTCCATTTGTTCACCTGAAGGAGTGAGATTCCCTGGGAGGTCAGAGTATTTGAAAAGGGGATGGGAGGCCCACTCAGTCGGGCAAATGGTGCTAGATGAAAGTCTGAGTTAACATCAGACCCAGCACCTGAATCCAAGGATCAGCCATTACAACCTGTTTCGTGTCTTACACTAAAAATGGAACCAGCTGCGAAGTATTCGTAGCGCCCTCCTCCCCTACCCTGGCAAAATGGTGAAGCTGAACCTAATCAAGTCTTTGCCGCTAACTTCTACTTCTCTTAAGAAAATCTAGCAGACTAGGGGAAAAGTTAAATGCCATTGTGAAAAAAAGCCAACAGAAAACATTCTATAGGCAAGTCAGTCATTTTGCTTCAGCAAACCCACGGCACACAACAGAACAAAAACAGAAATAACAAAGACAGGGAGAAGAGAGTGCCCTCCGTGACTCTAAGGGGTACATACCCCCACCAAATGCAATGTGTTATCCTCCCCCAGATTCTGAGTCACAGCACTTAAAAAGCTTGTTGAGACACAGTTGGGGAACTACAGATACAAATACAAAGTGGGTGGTAAGGGATACTGCAGACTGGCTTCATTATTAAGGCGTAATCACATATGATTAGGTACAAAATGGCCAATTCTGAAGAGATCCACACTGAAATATGTGGAGGTGAAATGTGATGAAGTCTCAGCGCTGCCTGAATGTACTTCAAGCAGCAAGAATAAGGGGCACAGGTGGGACGAGGGCTGCAAATTCTCGATAACCGCTGGGTCAAGGTGATGGACAGATAAGTGTTACCAGCTTTTCTAATCTTGGTATGCTTGCAAACTTCACAACATTTCAAAACAAATCATTTCTAGAGACAACTGCTGTCTTGAAAGAAATATTTGCATTCCATTGACATTTTCTAATATTGACAAACTGGAAAAGAGTCAATGATCCAAAATGATGCCAATATTTATTAAAGCTATGTATTAGTGATTCAGTATGTTTAAAAACAGGTCACTTAGGCACATCTTTATAAAGGAAACCGTAACACTATGATACACATTTTCAGAGGCAGAATTGTCAATGTGTGTTTTAACTGCACAGGTTTGAGAAAAATATTTTCCTTTCATAAAAAAAGGAGTAACAATATGGGAGGGTTTGCCATGCTCTAATCAAGGTATGGAATTTTTCTTTAAGCAAGTTTAAACAATATAAAATTTTAAACTTAATGTGTGTAGCATTCTCATTGATTTGTTTAAAAGCCTCAACGGTGCTGAAGTATAAAACAGTAAGATTCTCTCAAATAATGAAGTTATAGAGAAAGAGAGGTTAAGCTTCAGCAACAACAACCTCATTTTGTTTTGTTTTGGGGTCACATAAGGCTATGCTCAGGGCTTACTCCTGGCTCACTCACAATCAGTCCTGGTGGTGCTGGGGGGAACCCAGGTCAGCTGCAAGCAAGGCAAGCGCCCTACCTGTTGGAAGATCAGTCTGGTCCAACATCAGCATCTTTTATTACAACTAAGTCAACTAAACATACTCTGGAACATATGAACTACCGTATAGACTTTGTGATGACTAGATAAACTGAGATGTGTTCAAAGTTTAAAGCAGAAAATTCAGAAGATTAATGTTGAATAACAGAAATATAAAACCACAGACCATTCTTTTTCCCCGCTTAATCTCCTGAAGCACAGTTTTAATATCAAAATCTCCAAATTCTGCTCTTGATGTTGTTGTGAGCTGGACTGTTCCAGAAGAAAATAACTGGAGAAGAAAAATGCAGGTACATTAAATATTCAGAATCCTTGTGATAAAAAGATTAAACAACTTAATAACAAATGTTCTGCATTACTTGAATATCCCGAAAAAAAAAAAAAGACTTAATAATCAAGTACTGACTAAAATATTTTAAGGGGGTGTGGCTTTTAGAGTCACACAGGTAGATCTCAAGAGACCATATATGGTGCCAGGGATCAAACCAGAACTAGCTGTGTGGAAGGCCAGCACCTGAACCCCTGAACTATATCCCTAGGCCCTTTTTTGGTTTGGGGATCACAACCAGTGGTGCTAAGGAGTTACTCCTGGCTCTGCACTCAGGAATTACTACAGACAGGGCTTGGAGGATCAAATGTGATGCTGGGGATTGAACTTAGGGGTGGCAACATACGAGGCAAGTGCCTTACCCACTGTACTACTGCAAGGGGGGGGGCAGAATACCCTGCACTTAGGCCCAAGGTGATATTTTTAAACCTCCAGTTTATACCATGGTGTGAAAGAGGTTTTTCACTTCATACTATTGTTGAAACCTGAACATTTACCTACATTTAGGATTAGATTTGGGACTAGAATATATCATTTGTAGTTATAAAAAAGTAAAAATGTGTCATATTTGCTAATGGATAAAATGGTTGACACATTAATGCCATTGCTGCCTTTTGTGTTAACGAAGTCATATTCAAATACGAGCCACCCACCAGTGGTATGCACAGTGGTATCGTGTTAAAACAGAAACAAACAAAAAGCCTTGGGTTGTTTTTTGTTTGTTTGGGGGCCATACCTGGCACTACTCAGGGCTTACTTCTGGCTCTGTGCTCAGGGATTACTCCTAGAAGGCTCAGGGGACCCTATGGAGTGCCAGAGATTGAATCCAGCTCAGCTGCCAGCAAGGCAAGCGTCCTACCCACTGTACTATTGCTCTGGCCCCAAACCTTGGGGTTTATAAGACTCTTTTTTTCCCTGCTTAGTTCTTTTTTTTTACTAGTGAAACACCATGAGGTACAGTTGTAGACTTACAAATTTTTGTGCTTGGGTTTCAATTATACAATGTTCGAGTACCCATCCCTCCACCAGTGCCCATTTTCCATCACCACTGATCCCAGTATCCCTCCCACCCCCCTTCCCCCCCCATTCCACCCTGCCTCTGTGGCAGGGCATTCCCTTTTGTTCTCTCTCTCCTTTTGGGTGCTGTGGTTTGCAAAAGAAGCATTGGTGGAAATCATGTTCGGTCTATAGCCTACTTTCAGCATGCATCTCCCATCCTGGGAAGATCCTCTCAACACCCTTTATTTGGTGCTCCCTTCTCTATCAGAGCTGCCTTTTCCCCTAGCATGGCCTCCAAGCCATGGAGTGAACCTCCTGGTACTTATCTCGGCTATTCTTGGGTGTTAGTCTCCTATTTTGTTACTTTACGTTCCCCAGATGAATGCAATCTATGAGACTCTTTTTATTTAAAAAGAGTCAGGGGGCCGCATGAGAAAGCACAGGGTAAAGGTTCACACCGTGCATGTGACCAACCTGGTTTGAATCCTGGGCACTGCATATACCCCTCCCTCTCCAGCACTGAAGGGCACAGTCCTTAAGTGCCACTGGGCTGGCCTGGGTAATCCCCATGACCTGTCATCCCACAGCTGGGAGGGGTCCTTGGACTTTCTGAGCACCATTCGGGAGGTCCACGCTTACCATGCACTTATAATGCGCAGCTGCCTTCTTGGCATTAAATATATGCAGTTTTCCTCTTGCTTCGTTTTCTTCCTCCCCTACATGACAAAATCCACATTTTGGTCTGGTGTCATTAGGGCTGCTTCTGTGCGGAGACCGATCTCTCTGCAAACACAGGGGAAACAAGAGCATCTTTCAGACTCCAGGCAAACAAGCCATCACTGGCCTCCAACTCAGTTACTGCTTCAGAGGCCACGATCCACACACAAGCCCCATTTCCACCACCCATTCCTGGCACAGTAGACAGAACGTGACCAGCTCGACGTACGTATGAACTACTTTCCATTTCATCTGTTCCGTGGGAAGACGTAGAGCGACTGTCTTCCACCTGTCCTTTGAAATTGGTTTTTCGGGGCCTTCCTTTACGACTTTTCTTTTTAGTCTTAGGTGATGAGGGCTCCAGTTCATGTTCATTGAAGCTTTCTTCCAAATCAGCTGCATGAAAAAGAACAGAAGCTTTACATGGCTCTATTTTTTTTTTAAATGTAGGAGTACTGGGGCTGGAGCAATAGCACAGTGGGTAGGGTGTTTGCCTTGTATGCGGCCAACCCGGGTTCGATTCCCAGCATCCCATATGGTCCCCTGAGCACCGCCAGGGGTAATTCCTGAGTGCAGAGCCAGGAGTAACCCCTGTGCATCGCCGGGTGTGACCCAAAAAGCAAAAAAAAAAAAATGTAGGAGTACTGCTATTTATTCAGCCACTGATTAAGCTGACTGAATTGGGCATGAACTCCACATTACTTTAAAAAAATTTTTTAATTGGATATCCGTGAGACAGAACATTACAAAGCTGTTCATAATTGAGTTCAGTCATACAATGACCCAGCACCCATCCCTCCACCAATGTACATTTCGCACCGATGTCCCCCTTTTCCTCACCTCCATTCCCCAACCCCCCCAGCCCCACCCCTAGCCTCCCTCTATGGGAGGCACTTTCCTTCTTGCTCTCTCTTTCCTCTTCCTTTTGTGCATTATGGTTGGCAATACAGGAGCTAAGAGGTCATGGGTTTGTTCAGGGCATTCAGTATTTTTATTGGGACAGTAAGACTGGAATAGCATTTCAATTGGGTTGGCCGCTTTGGGGTGCAGATGTGACTGCAGCGGCTTCTGGAAGTACAGGGAGGTGGGGAGAGGTACTACATGGCTCAATCTTAACATGTGCAGTAGCTCTGAGGTTCTGGGAGCTCCTGGAAATGAAGGAACTTCCAGAAATGAAAAGAAATGGTTTGGTTTATCTTCAATAAACAGAGCAATTTAACAGTTCGTGTAACTGCTATCCAATCTGCAAAATTTAGGCTTCTAACCATTGTAGCTATCTTTTCCTTCACATTTAGAATTCTACAGTGTGGTGATCCTTGAGTTTGCACAGAATTCAGTACACATTTCCAAAGTCTTACAAGCCCACTTTTAGAATGAGCTCATTTTGGATTACTGTTCATTATTATTTGTACCCTAGATGTCCAAGAGTTTTATCTCTGTTAGTGACACCTGAATGTTGAAAATAAACTGAGAATAGAGCACCTGGATGGTCCAGTATTGCAGGCACTGACACCATCTGGTTTTAATATCAAAGTCACTTTGAAAGAAGCTGAACCGAAATCTTCTGTTTTGACACCACACTGAACACATTCCAAGTCACACCAGAACAAGTTTCAAACTGTGCCGGCACAAACATCAAATGTGTGTGTCTTCTAGAAAAGTTCTATTGGACAGCACTGCTCTGTGCAGGGGAGGTGTAAAAAGGCTGAAAACCACTGATATGCAGGATATGGTAGAAGGTCAGGGGTCAAAAGTTTGAAGAATGCATCTCTAGACTGCTCTTCAAATGAAAGAAAAAAACCAAATGATCAAACTCAAGAAGTCGACTACAAACGAACCAAGGAGTGGTGTAACTGGACATACTACCAAAGTCAAAGAGGAATTTCTAATATAACGAGTAGAAAAGCTGGTTGCAAGTTGCATACACTTAATATTTTTTATTTTAGTGCCACACCTGGCGTGCTCAGGGATGGTTATTCCTGGTTCTGCACTCAAAAATCACTTCTGGCAGTATTCACAGAACCATATGGGATACTGGGAATTGAACCTAGGTCAGCCACATGCAAAGCAAGTGCCTTACCCGGCCACATGCAAAGCAAGTGCATTACCCTCTATACTACCACTCCAGCTTCCAAATTGTATACACTTTAATGGACTAAACAGTGTGTGGAAACTTTACAAATACATACCCTGGGAAGTTGTAAAGAATTTCTATCATTAACGGCAGGTGTTACAGTTATTCACCACAAATATTATTTAAGGAGGCCTACTATATAAAACACAGTAGTTCAAATAGGTATAAATTCTTCACTTTCCTTTGGGTTTAATGCTTTCATTTTTTTTCTTTTACCAGTAAGCTACTGATTGCATCAGAGAATCATTCTGATATACTATATATGCCATACATAATATTGTTATTTACAATGAAACACACGACTAATACTGCAACATCACTATATTACTAAATAGCTATTAAGAAGTTACCCAAGCACGAAAGTTTGTAAGTCTACAACTGTACCTCATAGTGTTTCACTAATTAAAAAAATTACTCAGTTGATTCCATTATCAGGGCACCATGACTAGTTTTTCACATAGCATATGTATCCTATGTACAGAATCATTCAGTACAAAATGAGGGAACTTCAACAGAGATAGTAAAATTCGCAAAGGATGGATAGGCCTTACTACAATAGCACTTTAAACTTCCAAATGGAAAAGGAAAATAGACTATGAAAAGACAAACAATATACAAGGGGGGAAAGCCTACTATATTTGTGAAAGTGGCTTAGTAGCTACATGTGAGAGCACATAAAACAGTAAGAGCCCAACATCAAAATGAAGCAAGTAATGCCCAAAACGCAAGTTGTTAATAAACATACGTTTAGAAAATCTGGCTGTTTAAGGATCATGAAAATATGAATTCAGTGATTTATTCATTCCATCCATCAAAACAGCAGGCTTTCAAATAGTTATAAAATGTTCCAATAAACCCAACCAAAAATGTGTTACAAATGAAAAGTAGGGGTTGGAGCGATATTACAGCGGGTACGGCACTTCCCTTGCATGTGACTGACATGAGTTTGATCACCAGCAGCCCATATGGTTCTCAGAACACTGCCAGGAGTTATCCTTGAGTGGTGCAGAACCAGGAGTAAGCCCTGAGCACCACTCTGAGGACCACTGGGTATAGTCCAAGAACCAAAAACAAAAGCAAGAAAATATAAGAGGAAAGAGGGCTAGAAAGAGTGAGTACCAGCGTGTGGGTGGCGTCAGGAGAAGCCCAGGTAAGGTACTTGCCTTGCATGTGGCTGACCTGGGTACAAATGCCCAGAAACATATGGTCCCCCCAAGCACTGCAGGGAGTGATTCCTGAACACATAACCAAAAGTAAGCCTAAGCCTTAGGGGCTGGAGCAATAGTACAGCGGGTAGGGCATTTGCCTTGCATGCGGGCGACCTGGGTTCAATCTCCAGCATCCCATATGGTCCCCCAAGCACTCCCAGGAGTAATTCCTGAGTGCAGAGCCAGGAGTAACCTCTCAGCATTGCTGGGTGTGACCCTCCTAACAAACCCAAAAGTAAGCCCTAAAGCACTGCCAGGTGTGACCCCACCCTCCCCAAACTGAAACAAAACAAAAAATTAGATGAAGAAACTCCATGGAAATGTTGCCAGAGACAAGACATAAGGCAATGCCTTGCATGCAGCCAACTGCGGTTGGATTCCCGGCACAGCATATGGTCCCCTGAGAGCTGTGTCAGGAACAGCCTCCCTGAACAGTGTCAGAGATAGACCACACTTCCAAAAAGGAAAACATGGGGGCTGGAGCAACAGTACAGCAGGTAGGGCACTTGTCTTGCATGTGATTAACTCAAGTTTGATCCCGGGCACCCCATATGGTCCTCTGAGCACTGCCAGGTGTGCCTCTCCATAACAAAAAGCAAGCAGCAACAATAAAAGGGAAAATGCTGAGACACACAATGCTTCTGAATGAACAGGATCCATATGAAAATATTAGTTTTCAGTCCCCTAAGTTAATGATACCGCAGTAAAATGGAACTGAAAACTGATCCCATGGCTTTCTGGAAGTTATCTATTTGTTTTTGTTTTGTGGAGCCAGGGATGGAATACGGGGGACCACACATGAAAGGCAGGTGCTCCGCCACTGAGCCACATCCCCAATAAGTACTTTTGAAAAATAAAGATTGTCACTATAAAACAACAGCTGTTAAATAGTGGTTTAAGACATATTATCTGGCAATAGACATTATCAATAGACGAGAAAAGCAAGGTTGAAAACGGATCACATGCATCTGGGAATTTAGAGTAACAGCAGCACTTCAAAGGCAGGAGGTAAGACATGTTGTCACAATAGGCTGTCATTTTTTTTAAAAGACTCCTTTTCTTATATTAAGATATGAAATTGTTCCAAAATCAAAATAGAAAATAACAAGCTGTAAATGGTAATAGAAGAAAACAGAAGGGCTGGAGAGTGTGCAGCAGGGATGGAGCTTGCCTTGCATGCAGCCAAACTGGGTTCGATCCTCAGCATCCCATATGGTCCCCCTGAGCCTACCAGAAGAGATTCCTGAGTGCAGAGACAGGAGTAACCCCTGAGCCTGAGCACACCACTGGGGTGCTCAGGCCCCCAAACAAACAACAATTTTTTAAAAGAAAATAGATGCTTTTATTTTAATGTTTGTTTTTTGTTCCAATACCTGGTGGTGCTCAGGATTTATTCCTGGCTCCGCACTCAGGGGACCATCGGGATACCACGCATCAAACCCAGGTCAGAGGCATCCAAGGAAAGTGTCCTACCTGCTGTACCACTGCTCCGGCCCCAGATATTTTTAATAATCTTGAGGTTGTATACTAAGTGAAAAAGACTGCGAGACTGGATTAAAAATAACAATTTTGGGGGGAGGGTGTTCCATCTGGCAGTATTCAGGAGCTACTCCAGGGCTCATTGCTAAGGGGGCCATACAGTGCTTGAGACTGAATCCAGGGGTCCGATGTGCAAAGCATGTGCCCCAATTTGTTGAGATACCTCTCCAGCCCCCAAATTACAAATTTTCATATGACAAAGACATCATAAATTAAGAGACAAAGGATGAACTGGAAACTCATTTGTGTTTAGTGACAATATTTACATTACCTAAAGCATTATACATCTAAAATGTTTTTTTTTTTGGGGGGGCACAGGGTGGGCGGCTGGGTCACAGCTGGTAGTCCTCAGGGGCTATTCCCAGCTCTGTGCTTGGGCGTCATTCTGGTAGTACTGAGGCGGCAATGCAGTGCTGGAAATCAAACTGAGCCTCGCATATGCAAAACTCTCTCTCCGGCCCTACAAATCAATTTTTAAAAGGCAAGCCTCAAGAGAAAAAAAAAGGCAATTTTCA